TCCCTTATTTCATTTTGATCATTTCTTTTACCTCTTGTAGATTGTAAGATATCATTCTCCTCCTCACCCTCATCATCACAACCTTTTCAATTCTAAATTGTGCATTAGTAGCATCACTTGCTAGTTTGGCTTTCATCTTCTTCTTGTTTATCAACATTGCATTAAAGTGGACATAAACAAGATTGTTCATTCTCGTAGTGTCAAGTCTGTTCGTTTTCTTGGAGTGCATCAACAAAAAAAAAATAAAAAAACCTAGGCGGAGGAGCGCCTAGGCGAGCATTAAACGGTCAATATTGTCATTGATCGCTAAATTCCCGCTTAGGCTCAAGGCGAGTAGCATGTCATCATGCTTCTCGCCTAGGCGCACTTTTTAGAACACTGTAAAATAGTACCACGTGCTCTTCCTATGCTGAGTTATGTACTTCGTTGCCTCTTCATATTATCCCCATTGCCTCACAGAAAGTCGGCGAAAGTCCAAAATAGTATTCGAAATAGCACATTTCACATGACCAGGTTTCTCCATAACGAATGTATCTCCAACATCCTTCAAAATAGGGATAAATAATTCTGCATTTACCCCAAGTGTAGAGAATGTTGCCACCTCGCGTTCTATATTTCTGGTTTTCGTAATGTCGCCTTCTTTAAAATGTACTATTAAGACTTCAAATTCCATCTTAAAATATTGAACCTTATTTTGAGAAATAGTCCAAGTTCTTATATATCGATTTATATTTCAATAATCAGTCGATGTAAATTTATTCCTTAACGTGTCTCGCAAAATGATAGCTCGTTTGATCATATCAATCTTGAAATTCGAGTGATTATTTTAAATTTTAATTAGATCAACTTGCTTGTTTAAACTTAATGAACTGTAATAATATATTAATGCTTGAAACTTATTTTACTAAGTTTGATATTTTAAGATGAAATTTTGACTTGATAGTTACATGTATGTTCGGCACACTCGACCTAATTGCTTGATCATTGTATAAAGCAAATGACTTCTACCTAACCTCAAAAACTTTTACATGGCATTCTTTTTTGATATTCTATTCCATTTATTGCTAAACTAAAGAAAAAGAGAGTAATCATCCAACATGAAACATCCATTCCAGATTAAATTAGCCTCATCCAAATTGGAAACTTAAACACCAGCATTGGGTAAAGTTGTTTATATACCACATTTATAGATTCATACATGAGAACACGTCCCACTTGAAGGTGCATAAAGACAGCTTCACTAAGTAAAGGAGAAGCATAATAAATAAAAATGTCCATATCAAATGACATGGAACATCTTTAGTTCAATTCGCGCTGTCACCTATTTATAAAAATTGTGCATTAGAAATGCTCCATCCGAAGTTCAACAATGCGTAAATAAGAATCAAAGTAATTTAAACTATCGATTTAACTATTAATGATGTTCAAAGACAAAATGGAACCTAAATGGCGCTCATTTTACAGCACCGTCTCCCACCCAAAGAAAAGCACAGAACGGACAGAATAATTCTGGTTGAAGGCATTATATTGCATCATAAATTACAATGTTTATCGTGAACCAGAAACCTTGAAACTGATAGAATTTAAAACAGCACTGTTATGTATATGTTTATATGAACAATTCACAGGATTTGTTAGCGACAAAAAGTTACAAGAAGGATGCAATGATTTAAAAATTGTATCTTCTTACAAGTCAATCGTAAAGTCCCTCCTGCTCCCAGACATCCACAAGAAAATCCACCATTTCCTGTTTAAACCCTGTAAAAGTTAACATAACACGAAAGATAAACTAGAAGTAACTCGCTAATGGGCATACTCACGGCTAGAGGGATGGGCTGGGCAAAAGGTTTGCTAGTCCCAAGCAAACTCTCGTAGTTGCATTCCAACTGCAAAAAAAAAAAAAACCAATCACAAACAATAGACAAGATCTCGGTTAAACAAAAAATGCAACCCGACACCTGGAAACACTCTTTCTGAAAAAATGCAGCACATGAAAGCTGTAGAAACATTATATGAAAAAAAATTATTTTATGTTTAGAAATTCAATCTTCAACTAAGAAAAAAATAGTCAACAATTTAATATTGAAAATAACACGATCTGTTGCATTAAAATTTCAACTTGATATAATGTGTTTGAAAAATTGTAACTCTAATCACTTGTTAATTTTTTAAGCAGAAGGTTAAAGTTTGCAATTAAGTAAGGTTCTGAGGATGCTTATTTACTGAAGTGATGCTCTTTCAAGGCAGACACTCCCCAAACACACTAACATGCCAAAGGAGCAAACGATCAATAGAAGAAACCATAGTTTGATTATCATGCAGCACTTTCTTTTGCCTCAATTCTGGTTCTAAATGACCTCTCGCAATACTAGAACTATAAAAGTTGCTTACCATAATTTGGGTTCTTGAGTTTGTACTCGCTTTTCAGATCCCTTATTTCCAATCCATTAGTTTCTTGTTTGATTCCAAAGAAGACGACCTTCAACAGATAACCAAATAATATAAAGAGAAAGGCCAAATGTGGAATTGACACATTTATTTGGCATACTGGCATTGTAAAATCCAGAGGAAAGGGAAACATGTTCAGAATAATAACAATAAAATCACTTTTTGAAAAATTAAATTTCAAGTCATGAATTGTAAAGATTCATTTTTTCCTATGATTCTATAACTATTCATAAGAAAATTAAACCCAGTCTAAGTTGTCAAACAATTCATACTTATTCACAAATGACGGACATTCGAGAAAAGTAACACGTAAAAGTTGTCTCTCTGCTAACTCTATAAAATTATAGATGGTCGCTGTGGTGATGTCCGAAATCCAAGGCTTGCAAAACTAATTTTTGGTGTTCAGGTACCCAAAAAAGCAATGTCTTGAGAGGATAAGATAGAAGACGCAAGTACTTGCCATGATTTACAAATTCAGAAGGGTTGCTCGTGCTGCCAGCATTGCTATGAGTATCAAGAGTCTGATAAGAAGTGCTGATCGATGAGATACTTCTGTGGGATGGGAATGCACTGTTATCCATTTCACCTGAACTGATACTCCAAAAATCGTCCGTTAAACTACGTTTCTTCACACGTTGACATTGAATTTTCAGACCTTTGGATGGTTCATCCACAGAAATTACAAGCAGTGGCTTGGTACAGCATCCAAGACAACCTCTGCTCTGTTACAAATCAGGTTAATCACCATACTAATGATTAGCATTTAGACAAAAGCTATCAACATATTATTACTTATATTGACCCAGAAATGAGCACATTGCACTACAGAGTAAACTTGATTTATAGGACTGCTCAAGAATATTGAGTTTTCCTTCCGATTACCTCAACACCATTATTAGCTTGCATTCCCATAAAAATGAATGAGGTAAACAAAATTTTATATACCATAGTAATCTATTTCTATTAAATCACGTCTTCTATTATATCCATCAAGAGCTTGGCCGAAGAATAAGTAGTACAAAGATCTTAAAGCTATTTTGTGATGAAGAGACTTGGAGCCGTATGCTACATATTGTTCAAAGTTAGTTTTCAGAAACCAATAATTGAGTTTACTAATAGCAAAATAGCATTCAAAATACACACACACGTATATTGACAAGACAATAGTGAAGCCGTAACCAGAGCAATCTATGGCAAGAAATTTTGGTTAATGCTTATAGCATGAAAAATTAGGAATCTTGATGAGGTAGTGGCGTGTAACATCTTGTTAATTGCACAAATTCTTGGGGATATAGCAACACGAGAACTCAAGGAACTTCGTCGCTGTTTACTTTAAAAATAAACTGAATGGGTTGACAGCTCAGGGAAACATATCATCTACCCTCACTTTAAGACAAGTCATTGGACGAATATGATCATGTAATGCCTTTAAGAGTTTTGTATTCCACTCAAACACAGAGCACAAGAACCAGAAGAACTAGATCACATAACAACTCTCAGGGTACACCATTACAAAACATTTTATACTACGAAAATTATTTGATGAGTCGAGGAATGAACCTAGTTTTTTGGTCCCAATTTCGTCAACTTCTCAAAGAGGAGGGGGATGTAAGGGGGCACAGAGAGAGAGAGAGAGAGATGTATATATACACCTTAAATTGGAGAACAATAAAAAGGCATATTGTCAAATATAATATAGATTGTCATAAAGAATCTGAAGCAAATAAACAGAAAAATAATGTATCTTCCCCTATTGACCATATAGCACAAAAAGCAAAGGAAAACCCCAACGTGCAGAAATAGCAGACAAAGCACTAAAATTTCTGCAACTGAAAAGAAGTCAAGTGAGTAAAATGTTCTAAACTCATTTATGACCTCTTACACTGAAAAAAGTTCTGCACTTACCCTTCAACCTTTCCATCATCAACCGAATAGATAGAAAATACTTCCCAAAGCATCGGAATAAAGAAGATAGACATGTGCCTTCAAAACAGGCCTCCATTTTCATTGCTAAGCACAATTTGTTATGCATACCTTATGATTTTTTCTATATTTCATTTTCCCCTTTTTGACAAGTTTCTTTTGATACCAGAGTTAAACCATAAAATTAGATGGGGAATATAACTACCACTCCAACAAATTACTCACAACAGCAAGAAAAGCATGATTAATAAAGCAAGAGAGACATCAAAATTTTCAGCTTACACACATTACAACTATTTGCTCAAAGTATAAGCAAAACTAAGATTCCAACCCACAAAAAGGAACAAAGATATAAAGTACACAAACAAATTATTAATTATATAATGAGTTGCCAAAAACCAAAGGCAAAGAACCAATTTACCATTAAATTAACAAACTTTTATTCTTTATGTTGTCTCACATAAAAAAAAAAAATTATCTCTTCTATAATTTTATATTTCCCTTTTCTAACATTTCACACACAGCAAAAGAGAGGAATTGACGTTTGTTACTTTTTAACAATTTACTCACTTCCCTGGAATAAAAAAGAAAATAAAATCCGAGCAATCAAAAGTAAAACTAAACAAACCCACGATTCCCAAACTTTTTGCCCAATTGCCCTTTAACTCGATATTGAGAATTGCTTTTGAAATATAAATACAACAATAAGTTATGCTTTGTACCCTGTGCTTCTCCTCCTGTACAAAATGAACAGTCAATTAAGGATACCCATAAACAGTAACATGCGAGAGAGAGGGAGAGAGAACACTGACCCCATGCATGCAAGAAAATAAGAAATCCAAGAGGGAGTTGATCTTCACCACCACTGCATTAAATGATGATACTAATAACGGTACCTAACTCAGACAAATCATCTTTTCAAAACCCAGATCTCAATATCCCAAAAAAAGAAGAATGTTGACACACTAAAAGTGCAACCCTAATTAAATGGCCCAAAGAACAAAATCCAGTTGAGAATCCGATATGAAAGCCCAAACAAAGGGGAAGCAGCCCACAAAACAAAGGAACATTGTCGCCCAAGCTTGTAGAACGCCCAGATGTTGAGCGAGTAAAATGATTTATGGACGCCCGAATGAAAGAGTAGTCGCCCAAGTTGCTGGATCGTCCAGAATCCTAACGATGACTAAACTCTGCAGTCATCTACAAGTCACGGTTTGAGGCAGTTTGAGCACATCACGATTACATCCCACGTTTTAAGAAAATTAGTGACAAGCAGTTATGAAGAAAATATGGTGGTGGGAGTTACGAATGGTGGTTATTGGCCAGTCAGCCACTATGAACGAAATGGGTAGTTACGAGTAGAGTCCAAACGGTCTAGAACTGCCCAAGGAGTATAAAAGGAAGAGGAAGGCAATGAAGAAAGCC